TCTCTCTCTCTCTCTCTCTCTCCCTCTCTCTCCCCAACTCGATCCCACTCCCCTACCAAAAGACTGATCCACGTTTTACTTACAACTGTGCTTCCTCCTCGGTCTCCTTGCCCTCCCCGTCACCTTCTTTCTTCTTCTTCTCTCGTCCTGACGCTGTGAGAGGTGCGTGGGGTCGAATGTCAATGAGGAAATTGGCAGCGTCCTTTTCTGCCTGTAGGGCATAACGTTCAGCTGTACTAAGAACAACGTACAAGACAATGTCATGAGAATGACATTTAGGAGAAAAAGCTTTGGGTGAAATAGTTTAGACAAGAATATATTATAACACAATACATTAACGTCCTTAGTTGTTTTGGTTTTTTTGTTGTTGGGTTTTTTCGAGTATTTGTGAAAACTTAATTATTTTTTTTTACCCTGCCCAATTCTATCCTCTGGCGCTTTTGTCTTTAGTAACAACAACAAACAGTGCAGCATTTTGAATTTTGAAATTAGCTGTTAGTCTTAGAGTAAACACACAGGATGATGTTTTACATATAAATAAATGAATAAATAGATAAAGATGTTATTCCTTAGCAGTTGCGAGCGCCGTAAAACCCTATACTACATACATACAAAGATGTTATTTCACTTTGATAACGTTTATTGGTGAGTTACACATCTAAGTGAGGCCAAAACCCCAACTGGAGATGGTTACAACAACTAGTTAGTAGTTATTTGTTTAGATCATGCTAGTTCTACATTCCTCAGCTCTTTCGAGTCACGAGGTGGACACCCTTAGTCCCGCTCCCTAGTGGTGTCATTTTTATAGCCTCACCGAAGGTTCCGAAAGTTTTTGCACGAAGTCTCATACTACGGTGGTGACTTTGTCAGTATTAGTACCTAAACTACTGGGCCAAGTACATTTTGCTTGTCGTGTTTTTGGGTTGTATTTTTGTGTTTGCATCTGTATGTTTAGTTGTTTCTAAATATGTGTGGGCTTACGATGATTTTAGTAGAACATAATAAGTACCATGACTTGTGAGTTGACATGTTGGACGACTCACGGTCCCGGGGTGACTGGAGTCATCACATTACAGTGAAACCACTTTACGCGGGGGAAGACTCCCCCCCCCCCCCATACCTCCTAACAATACAGCCCTCCCCTATTCAAACCTGCATGCTACCTGTTAAACACAAATTTTAAAACGTAAAATAAAGCAATAATAATAGTAATGAATAATTTCAAAATAAGATTTTTTAACACAACAAACGGAAAAAAATAATTATAATAATAAATGAAGGAAATAACATCTGATTTGCTGGGCATTCCAAAACTAGCAATAAAACGGGGGTGTAACATTCCCCCATTATTGCCAATGTATATGCGTGCTTGTTGGAATGAGGGTGAACGACAGATAGTTGAGGATAGTTCAGAGGACTTGAGTTCATAGTGAAAGGGTGCAGTGGGAGGGGTTATATCTAATGAGACCCGTGATCTTTTGTTTCCCGAAATATACAGAGCCTTATCTACTCCTCTGTGGAACAAAAGAAATAAATGATAATAATAAAACACTTATACTACTCTCGTCGTTCTTCACACACACCGGCATGATATAACAGGACGGTAGTCTTTTATTTTATCGTGTCCTGAAAGTGAAAACAAAATGTACCCTCACACTCACCACCCCTTCCCACCCAACCCCCCCCCCCCCCAATTAGCCAATCGCTCTGAACTGCAATTTAACATTCCGAGTCCTGAAGTAAACTCAAGAGAAGGAAATCTAAAAAAGTCACCAAATGATATTTATGTAAATGACGACAAAAGTATTAAAAGTTGGGGAGGAGAAACTCCTTATTATTATCGATACATTCTGATACATCTTTCAAACTAAATAAAAGAATTTAGACTCAAAGAGAAACAAATAAAAGTATCAGTAATATGAAAAATAACATCCCTCTAAAAAGGAACCAAAAAAGCCTTGCCTGCATTTTTTTCTCAAAGGCCTCCGCCTCGTCAAGGAAATCTTTGTACTTTTTACAGCAATACAATTTACTTTTGTCCCATGTGTTTCGAAGAGTCCAAGGGGTTGGAATAGGCAGAATTTCATGATCTGTTGACAATAAATTGTTTGATTATTTAGAGCAATGTAAATGTCAGTGAGATACCGGTAAAGGGATGACGAAAAAAAAAGAGATCGGGTAATGGCGGGGATTGGTGGTACGGGGTGGGGGTAGGGGTTGGCGGGGGATGGAGGGGGTGGGAGAGGGTGGCAATTGTGCGGCATCGTGGTGAAGTGAGGCCAAGGAGAAAATATTGAAATACAAGAAACTTACCAATTTCCCACTTATAAATAGCGCAATTTTCATCGATTTCTTTCTTGTCCATTAAGTGTGTGTTTGTGTGTGTGTGTGTGTGGGGGGGGGGGGGCAAAAGTCCCAATTCGGCTCAAAATTGTGGATTTGAGTTGTAGGCATTTTTAGCTTCTTCAGACTCTCTTACAACTATTTCGTAGTATTAGAACCCCTAAAAGCTTATTTTTCCCATACCGGGCATGTTTGTCACCACAATTTCCCCCATAAAGTCAATCTTTTATTTTTCCTCATCGCCCGTTTTTTTTCAAAACACGGTTTGTCTATGTACGTTTTTTAATAACTCCACCATTTTTGTTCCAATCTTCATGAAAGTTTTACAGAATGTAGAGAGGATGTGATACTAAACAATCGTTTGTTGAATTTTTGATATATGGAATAGTTTTTAGTTGTTGGTGTCTGGAGTGTGGATTTTTACGGATTTTTTTCAAACTTGAATACGACCTCTAATCTGTTTAGGAAATATTCAAAAGATACATTTGTAGATTTAATGTTTATTAAAATGCATGTAAAACAATAATACATTGCCATAAAAATAAGTGCAGCATTCATTATGTAAGACATGTCAATAAATTCCAATACGATCGCAGTAGTCCTGAAGCGAAACATTTTTTCTCAAATTTGATTGTGGCTTTTAAGACTACTTACTATGCTTGTTATAATATGTGTGAAATTTAGTAACATTTGTTCCACTAATTAGCGAGACAGCCTTCGGGTGTAGTCACTCCCACCCCCTTTAAAAAAATAAAATAAAAACACAAACAAAAAACAAATAAAACAAAAATCTAACACATTTCTGTGCAGATTTTACTCAACATTGTTGATCAAAGGCGCTGGTTAATTTTTTGGGCACATGAAGTAATTGACATCAACTTATCATGTGTTCTTTGGGTTTTTGCTTTTGATGTACGAAATATTAATCTATCTTGAATAGAAGTCGATATGTTAGTATACTTGCGTTTGAAGGATGTGCGACTCGCCTGGTCTGGTCAGACTATCTCTATTATAGCTATTGCTATTAATGAGGCAGCGTGGTGAAATCAGGCGCTTGTTAAAATAATGAGTTTTTAAAAAATTAGCCTTTTTTCGGCTTCTTTGGAATGTTTTTCAAATTTTTGTTTTTATGCTAAACACCTTGTACGTCCATTCAAAAACATTCATATGTACGGGTTTTATGGTAAAACGTGGATTAAATGCACGAAAAGTGTAAATTCGCAGTGTCCAAGGACTCTTGAGCTATGTAAGTCACCAAACGTTGGTGACCATTTTCTCACTAATTTTATTTCTGAAACCAGGCAACCCCACTTTCTTAAATCGCCAATATCCTGATTTCTGTTCGAAGGCACTTAAGATTATACTAATAACCCCATAATAGGTTTTAAAATTGACGAGCGCATGATTCCACCAGGGCGCAATGCAATTAGGTTTCTGTATCCTTCTGAGCCGGGGTGACTCATACATGTAGTGCTGAAGTCTCTCATTAATGACCTAAACTAGGTCGATGACCGCGTTACAAAACGCTACAGTAAGCTGGTTTGAAAAATAAAAGTAGAAATAATGTCTAAAAAAAATCCAAACAGAAAACAACAGCAGATAGTACAACAGTTAATCAAATATTGACGTCTAATGACCATTATCATTTTATTTACCCCAAAATGAAGTAGAAAACAGAAGAAATAAGTATTTGGTCGTTGTTATCACTCCTTGATTACTCACGGCACCACTCGCAGAAGCCTGTAGTTTTCCCAATAGGGTTCCCCTGGTTGTCTAAGGGATAATTTTCCAGGTCAAAATCCTCATCAGCAACCTGGGCGAGTACGGGTAAGGGAATTTTTTTTTTGTCCTTATTATTTTTCGATAGGAGGGGGTGGGGGGGGGGGCTGAAAAGGGCAGAGTCAAAATTGAGAACAAACTAGTCATAGTGGAATGCCCGCTTAGAAGTAAATTAATACAGTATGCATGCGTTTGTGCTGCTTTGTGGAAAACAAACTACGCACTCGTTAGGTTACTTCATGACGTTTACATAAAAGATGAAGATGTACATGAGTTAAATTTCAAAGACATTTTTATATAGTAATATCTCGTAACAAATCCAGCAATAAAAGATGTACACAATCCACGCCCATGTAACAAATCCAGCAATAAAAGATGTACACAATCCACGCCCATGTAACAAATCCAGCAATAAAATATGTACACAATCCACGCCCATGTAACAAATCCAGCAATAAAATATGTACACAATCCACGCCCATGTAACAAATCCAGCAATAAAAGATGTACACAATCCACGCCTAAAAATTTAAAAACCCCATTAAAACGACAACAACAACAAAAAACCATTAACAACAAATTAAACAACAACAACAACAACAACAACAAATTCAGTGAATGAGAAAAAAGTGGGCGATAACAAAAATCTAGAAGCTGTGACGTAAGTTCGGGATTGGAGGCGTCTTCCTCTTGTCATAATTTCGCTGTCAAAACTCGTCCGGAAAAAAAAGGAACTGCCAAGAGCGATCTAAACGGAAATTGTGGGACACATCGATTGAGTTTGGAACATTCCACGGCGAGCATTGATGAGTTTTGAGCCTCAAGAAAGGGGAAAAAGCCGAGGAAAAGCCGGTGAAGATGACGGTGAGAGGCGAGGATATCAATAAAAAGAATGCAAATGACAAACCTTCGGGCTAATCATTTCTGCGCTTCCTTCGCCCTCTGGCTAGACGCCCTGCCACCCGTCTCTGTCAAAAACACTTTTGCTCGCGAGCACGTGCATGAAGAGAATTATAATATTGTACACATTCCATTAAACGTGCGCGTACACCAACTGGCGTGCTCATGCACCCAACTACAGGTTGGTGTCTTCTTCTTCTTCTTCTTCTTCTTCTTCTTCTTCTTCTTCTTCTTCTTCTTCTTGGTGGATTTTACTTGATAAACGTTTAATAAAGGTTACAAAAAAAGTATTTTTTTCAGTTTCTAAGGACTCTAAGGCTACTGAAGTTACCAAACTTTGGAGACCATTTTCTCGCTAATTTTACTCTGAAACCAGGCGATCCTGACCTCCTCAAATCGGAAATATTTCAAATTCTGTTTAGTATACAAAGATTTATTTTTTCATAGAAGGAAGGCAAATGAACAGGCTTTACGATGATACTTCATATAGCCGAGGAAAAGAACCTCCATATTCCCCAAAACTGACGAGTGCTTTATTCCACCAGGTATCTATGGAGAGGATTGACCTTTTTCGAATCGTAAACTGCACGTTCTTGAACATGAGTCTTTTTTTTTTTTTAATCAAGGCTCTCAACTCATTGGGCATGTTTCTATCTGAGCCAGACGTTAAATAACTTACTGAAAGTATGGACATGGGAGTTAAATCTAAGCACATTCTTTTTCAGATATTGCGTTGTTTATTTCTTCCTATCCCTTTTGAGATGTGGACGGTATTTTATTATTATTATTATTATTATTATTATTATTATTATTATTATTATTAGATCTATTATTGTATGTAAAGTAGTTTACTGCAGTGTTCTTTGGGTTCAGTTCTGATACCATGACGATAAAACAGTTGCTGTGAGATTATTAATGTTCCCTCGAAATAAAAAGAAGTGCTGAACAAAATTTGTAGTCATCGTTCACGTAAAGTACGATTCGCAGTAAGATTGGAAGGAAGAGATAGAGAGAAAAAAGAGAGAGGCTCAGAAAAAAGAGAGAGAGAGCGAGAGAGAAAGACAGAGAGAGAGAAGGAGAGAGAGAGAGAGAGAGAGAGAGAGAGAGAGAGAGAGAGAGAGAGAGAGAGAGAGAGAGAGAGAGAGAATAAGAGGATGTGGAAAACGTTTGTGGATGGATAATGAGTGAAGAGAATAATTTTTTAAACAGTAGACAGTGACTTCTGGTAATCACTGTCGGTCTAACTCTAAGTTGGTCTTTCAAAAAATTTGACTTACCAGAGAAAAATACCTAAAGGCAAAAAAACAATCAGTATCAGATCTCTCTCTCTTTCATATGATTGTAAGTATCAATGTGCAGGAGCAGGCAAATCTGTACTAGAATATCCGGTCGTCATTTTCTGGGTCAATACTTACATCTGAAAACAAAAAGAGAAAAGAAACAGGACAAAACATCAGCCTATTAATAGTTAGAAATACAGTCTAGAACGCACATAGTTAGCAAGCACACATCAGCACACATCTGCAAAACACGTTCACCAGAGAGCATAGTTTCAGGTCCTTGATTTCTTTTCCTTGCACATGTATACGACATAATATTCTTTACAGTAGAATCATGTACAAGGCCAAATTCGTATTTTTTATTACGAATTTGTTAATTTTCTCCCGTCAATTTCGCAATGCGCGTTCTGTGTTGCTTTTTCGTGCATGCTGTAATTAGTCTGGTAGTTAAGATATTTGCAATTGAAGGAACTGGGGTCGCCTGGTTTCATATGTAAAATTAGCTAGAAAATGGCCGCAAAAGTGTTATGTCCTAAATTTGAGAGTTGTTGGAAACTGAAAATTTACATTTTTGTGTACATTTAGAAAAAAGTTTTTCAATAAAAATCTACACATCAATGTGTTTTTAAATAGACTTAAAGGTGTTGGGCTAAATAACAAAAATGACAAAAATTACCGAATCGGCAGGCGACATCTTTGATTTTATTACTTTGAGGAGCGCCTGATTTCACCACGCAGCCTCACAAATGTGTTTTCCGTGCGGGGAATAATTTTTGCCAAGCACATAATATGTGTCACGACGCGGTGGAATCAGGTGCTTGACAATTTTTGGCTATATATTGTTTTTACAATCGTCTGAAAGTTTATTCATTTGACTTGCTTTCGATAACAAAAACACCTGTCTACTTTGAATAGAGGTTGAGATATTTGAGGTCGTTTGGTTTCAGAGCTAGGTAAAATAAGCGAGAAAATGGCAGCCAAAGTTTGGTAAATTCAATAGCTTGAGAGTCTTTGAAAACTGGAAATTTACATATTTTGCGCCTTTAATCTATATTTTCCAGTAAAATTCATATGGAAATGTTTTTATATAAACATAAAAGGTGTTGAGCCAAAAAAATATTGTAAACTGGTGGAACAATGCCTTTTTCTTTGATATCATTATTTTGACGAGCGCCTGCTTTTACTACGATGCCTCACATATTTCTAAATCAGTCTTTTTGCCGGGACGTTGTATAATATCTTAGCTCTTGAAAGACATGGTTGAAAATAAACATCTGTTTGTGAGATCAAACATAAGATGATATTATATTTTGGCTATGTGCACACATGTGTGTGGAATAGAGGATGAGTGACGCAAGAGTGTATCTGTATATGGGTGAGCGCATGTGTAGGTCAAGAATTCTGGAAACCCCCGAAATCTGGGTTAGCCCCCTTGTCCTTAAAAGCGACCAGTTGTCGCAGTATTTTACGAGGGACTGTTGTCTGACGTACAAAAGTGATAATACAAGCAGGAAGTGCTTCCTATTTTTTCAACGTTACCAGCTTATAAATTGTCCCAGTTTGTACAGTCACCTTCTACGAATACAGCGCTTTGTTGGAGAACGTCACTGATAGAACATTTTTTTTTTTTTTTTTCTATGCTGTGATGTTTCTGTCTGTCTGTTTGTTTAGCCTTTATTCCCTGCATCTATTTACCGTAATCACAATGCAGAATGAAGTGTTTATGGAGAATTGCACTATATTCATTTGCTAAAAAAACACCTACCCCCCAAAAAACAAAACAAAACAACAACAACAAACAAACAACAAAAACAAATCCCCAAAAAAGAGAATTGCGAAATTTTGAGAAAAAAAAATAATCTTAACCCAGGGTATAAAAAATACGTAACTTTTATCCAAAAAATACCAAAGGATTCAGTGCTTTTCGAGGAAGGAAATGGTACTTGATGTAAATTACCTCGAGAATTTTTCTCACTATTGGTTTTTCTTTTTGAATAAATATGCTCAGATTTGGCGCAT